TCATATATTCTTATCACAGGTCATTAGTGTGACAATTACTCTCCCTGGTAAAGGAGTTCTTAAATTACATGTTTGCCACTGATCTCTGCATCTTTGTAAGTCACTGGAACTTTGCTTAAAATTTTACGAGGCAATCTAAAAGTGATCCTTGAGGATGAGGAAACATGTCCCTCGTAAGAGGGTAGAAGGCTGGGGTTATAGAAATAATTTATTTCACTTCCAGAAAGGCAATGTCCAAGTCTGGTTTCACCTGCAGGTAACAGGCTAAGTGCCCTGCGGGCACCCCGGAGGCCCGGGCAGAGCTCTTGCCCACAGGATTTATCTTTTGCCATGATGACCCTGAATTTCTTCAGGGAAAAATGCTGTGAGAGACATTAGATTAGCGAGGAACTATCCTCTTGTCTTATTACACATTTCTCCCTCTTTGTTCTGCTTTTGCTGTATTATCTCCTGTTTGAGAGTTGTTGTCCATAGGTTAAATTATTTTCCTAAAGAGAAGCTCAATGGTCGATCTGCCAATTCTAAATTAGTCGTACTTTGACTGAAGCAGAGGAACATAACATATGAAGTAAGCATTTCCTGTGTACCCTGTGCTCTCTTGCTCTGAAATGACGGGGGAAGTTTGTAACCAGGTTCACCTTTAAGGAATCCCGAGGCAAAGGAAAGATTAGGAAATTTCAAAAATAACTCATTAAACTGCTTGACTTCTGTTATTGTCATTGACTTATATGTAGTTGAACGCCAATTTCAAGGCATTGCCCTAGGACTAGGGCTACTAGACTTGAGTAACAAAAGGAGTGCTTGTTTTAGTTTTATTGTGGGAAGACTTCAAGTTGGAGAGCCATGGAGATCATGAGGAATTGTGTGTGTGTGTGTAAGTCAGAGAGAGAAGAGACCCATTTAGTCCAACACTTTCACTTTACAGAAGCTGAAACTGAGGCCCAGGGAAGAACAGTGACTTGCCCAAAGACACGTGCCCAGTGGGCCAGAGGGGAGACCAGAGCCTGGGTCTCCCGTCTCCTGGGAAGTACCCTTTATGTTTCACATGTTGCCTCTCTGGTCAAAGGACTGCAGAGTTCTGCTCAGTCCAGAGGATGTCATGGTTTGAAAACAATTACTCAAGTTTCTTGAACGAGAAAATAGAGAGGCCGTTTGCCTGTGAGGATACTGGAAGCTGAGATTGGGAGAGCAAAAGAACTTAGGCCTTTGGCCTTTAATTTGCTTAGTGCACTTTTGTATCCTTGAACTGAGCTATATTTTAGGCCTTGAGTTTTATATATTTTTTATTTTTTATTTACATAACATCATCCCAACTTACCTAGCAAACAAGCAAAAAGGCATCCCTTCTCATCTATGTGTTGTCTTTAGGCTTTACTCAGTAACAATTTCGTTCTTGGTTCTCGATCCTTATGAATCCCAACAACAGGCTTAGAAAAAATGTTTCCTTTCTTCTCTAATTGTGGTTCCTCCTTTAGGATTGGTCAAGTGTGGGAGAATTGGTCTTTATTAGAGATTGTAAAGGAAACGTAGCTCTCAGATTCACAACTCGGCAGACTTCATCCTCATCCCAGGCTAACAGTAAGACGCAGTCGAATTGTAGGAGTGGAACTGCGGTTGTGTTTCTTGTATATTTCCCTGGGGTTGCAGTGGTTGGTTGGGTGACAGGTGTTGAGTAACTGGAAGCTGTGCCCTGGATATGTTTGAACACTATCAATATACTCTTCAGTCAGGTTTCAGGAATGACTTAAAACGTTTCATCTGAATTATTAAAACCACCATGCGCGGTGTTCAGAAATGAGGAATGAATGAAGTGGGTCAGGAATTCGATAAGTACTTCTCCACTTCATTTTTCTCTAAAGTGAGGTAATGAGATGTTTGCCACTCCTGACATAGGCAAGATCAGGAGTTGATTTGGGGACAATATCATGGTATAAACTGTGACTACTAATATATTTTTCTAACCTTATAAGAAAGGTTTTTGCTCCCATTAAGTTTTCATTGTCTACTTTAACAAGGCCATATATCATGCTTACTCAGTGCCATATCCTGTTCTAAGCATTTTATAAACATAAACTTAATTTTCATAACTCTATGAGATAGGCCACTATCATTGTCCTTATACAGATGGGGAAACTGAGAGTAACTTGCTCAAGGTCACACAGGTAGGGAGTGGCTGTGTCAGGTTTTAAACTCAGGCATCAGTCTGGTTGTAGACATTGCCTTTTGATTCTCAGTATCTGGATTTCCCATCAATTAATTACCTGATCTAGAAAGTTCTAGATTTCTGTGGTTGATTTACCATGCTCAATCAAGAAAAATTTATTTTCCTTAGCAAAACTCAGCTTGTTCTGAAATAAAACTACAAAATTGTCATCAGTGGTGAGTTTTCCTCTGTAGCAGTCACTCCAATTTTTTACTTTTCACTTTTTTTTTTTAAGATTGTTTGAAGTGGAAAACTTCTAAAGCCAGATACCAAATGGCTGAAGGCTCTGAGGGCTGTTTTAAAAAATAAAGGCTGTTTCACTAAGTCAGAGGTGATGGAGTCCTGCTAATCTGAACTCACATCTGTGAACTTGGTGCTTTTCTCAGCACCAGACAGCAGCAGCAGCTGCTGACAAGAAGCCCTCATTCCTCTGCCAGGAGCCTCTTTGACTCACAATTCCAGACAGCCATCCTGTCTGTCAGCCCAGATTTCCTATGGGAAATAGACTTGAAGTGTAAACACCAGGAAGCCAGGCCGAAGGGAGGAGATTATTCCCTTTGAGAGGCGGTGGTGCCCTAGCACTCTGCTCCCAGGGCATTTTGCAGGGGCGGGAATAGGCGGGCTGTTTCCACCCTCTACCCCACTCACTGTCTTTTCCACCTTGGCTTCCAGTAATACCATTGCCAGCAGACAGCATCTTTCTGTTTAACCTCTGAGGATGTTTGAGGATTATAAAGCACAGACTGTTGCAGGAGAGAAGCCTCTTATTGCCATAGCCTAAAAAGTATTATCTCGTGCACAGTCTGGCTGGAGACAAAGTGGCCAGAGATGTGGCCTGTGCCCTCTGGAGTCAGAGGCTACTGTCCTCCCCAGGCCCACCCACTGATGACTTTTTTCTCTAGGCTTTAGGGGGAAGGTATTTTTTTTTAATGTATATTTTATTCTGTAACTTATCTGACTAACAGCTTTTGAATTTAGGCTGTTTGGGATATTGGAAAACAAATCAGCATTTTCCCCATGTAAGGCTAAAATACAAGCCGAAAAAACATTCTTAAAAATTAGTGTCCTTGAATCAGCCTGGTCAGGTATTGTGTAAGCAGATTTTGCAGAGGAGGAGGAATTTCTAGAATTCTGCTTCATTCTTCATGAGTAGTTGGTCATTAACATTGCAGGGTATGTACAGAGTTTGACATAGTAGGTTTGTTGTTGATATGTCGAGTTTTAAAAAAATAGATGGGTTCACGTTTTATTGTTTTCTTTTTTTTTTGTGAGGAGGACCAGCCCTGAGCTAACATCCCATGCCAATCCTCCTCTTTTTTGCTGAGGAAGACTGGCCCCGGGCTAACATCCGTGCCCATCTTCCTCTACTTTATATGGGACGCCGCCACAGCATGGCCTAACAAGCAGTGCATCGGTGCGCACCCGGGATCTGAACCGGCTAACCCTGGGCCACCGCAGCGGAGCGTGCGCACTTAACCGCTTGCGCCACCAGGCTGGCACCAGCATTTGGCATTCTTGATTGCCTTGGCCTCCAGAACACTGCACCCTCCCGGTTCCCCTTCCACCTCTCTGGCTGTTGCTTCTCCATCTTCTTGGCTAGTTCTTCCTCTTCGACTCAACCTCTAAACAGTGCAGAGCCCCAGGGCTCTGGGGCTTTTCTCTCTGCACACTCTCCCTCCGCTGATGACCCATGGCTTTAAAAACCATCTATCTGCTGGTAATTCTCAAGTGCAGATACCCAGCCTGGATCTCATACCTGAACTCATGCAAATATCCTCCTGCCTCCTTGACAGGCCCAGATGTCAAACAGGCACCTCACACTTAAGACGTCTAGAACTGAATGCCAAACTATGCTGCCACATGGGTTAGCCACTGCAGAAAGTGGCTCCTCCAGTCTTCCAGCTGCTCAGAGCAAAACCTTAGAGTCAGCCTTGACTCCTTTCCTTCTTTCTCACCCCATAGTTTATCCACTAGCAAATCCCATCAGCTCTACCTTCCAGATGTATGCTGAAGTTGACCATTTCCTATCATTTTCGCTGCCACCACTCTGGCCTAAACCACTATTGCCTCCCTCCCGGATTACTGCTGCGGCCTTTAACTGCTTGCTCCACTTCTGCCCCCCCCCCTTCAGTTTGTTCTTGACACAACAGCTGGAATGATCCTGTTCAAATGTGTATCAGATAGTCATTTGTCTGTTCAAAATCTCCAATGACTTTCCATGGCATGCAGAGAAGCAGCTTAAAGGCCCAGTGCAATCTGTATTCCCCTCCCCACCCTTTGTCTCCCAGTCTATGACGCCCACCACTCTCCCCCTCGCTCACTGGCTCCAGCCACACCAGCTCTCTGCTCCTCCTTGTACATGCCAACACCCCTCCTTCCTTCACACCTGCCTTCCCCCAGATATCTGCCTGGCTTACCCCCTTTAGCTCTTGATTGAAATGTTCAGCCTCAGTGAGGCCTTCTCTTAGCTATGGGGGAGAAGGCCCTGTATCAACATTGCAGCCCTGCCCACTCCATCCGCTTTCCTTGCTCTGTTTTTCTCCTTAGCGCTCCTCACTAGCTAACACGCTAAATATTTTGTGACTTCCCGTGTCCCCCACTAGAAGGCAGGCTTCATGAGGAGGGGATTTTATTTTGCTTTGTTGGCTGCCATACCCCAGTGCCTAGACTAGTGTCTGGTGCTGAGTAAGTGCTAAGTACGTTCTTGTTGAATGAGTAAATGAACAACTTCAAACTTGGACTAAGATAAGGAGGAAGGAGGCAGTTTTGGTTTTGCTTTTTGTTTTCCTTTGTGGAATGAAATCAAAGGTTATTAGTTTTCCCGTAGCATCAGTGATATCTCTTTCTTCCATCTAGAAAATTGTCGACTGCTCTGATGTTTTGTTCTTGGTAAACAGTCTGTCCATTAACGTCACGGGACCTTTGCACGGTGGTTTTTAGTAGCTCCTGAGATTCATCTGAGCGTACAATGATTATCCCCTGAACCTTCAACAAAATAGTGATGAATTCTGCTTCAGAGATCACTTTTTGGGGTTAAAATGAAGTCTAAACAGTTCCTCCAACTGAGTTTTGTACCTCAACTAGGAAAGGAGTCTATTTAACTCAGGGCATACCGAGTTCCCAGCTCTGATAGAGCAATTTCTTGTGTGATGTGTTGGGAGAGATCGCTGTTGATACACCATTTTTTAACCAGACTATGATGTACTGGTTACCACAAAACCCATGTACATGTGGGTCCGTTGCTTTTAGGAGCACTTCCTCTGTGATCAAGCCAGACAGATGACGGCCTGGACAGCTTGTCTCTGCAGGAGGATTCGCTGCAGTGGGAGAATCCAGGAGACCTTTCCTCCCCCTCAGCTCTGGCTCCTGATGTGGACTTGGTGGACCACCCTCAATGGGAGAGGGCACCAGCAGAGAGAGAGGCTATTGCACAAGAACTGGCTTCCTGTGCTAGGAAACCCAGGTTCCACTCATTGGTGACCACACCGTGGGCCAGCCTTCTCATTAGTAGAGAGACTGGAGATCTGGCAGGGCGGTATGGCAAGGGTGTGATGGCAGGGTGGCCCTCGGGTTCTCAGTGGCTTAAGTTATAGAGGCTAATGCGATGATAAAAGAGGGAGGGGAGTTCAGGGAAGAGGGGAGGGATGACAAAAAAAATGCTCATTCATTTAAAGATATTCATTATATTCCTATTATGTGCTGGCTCTGGGAGGTGCTGGGGATCAAAGCAGATGTGGGGCTCAGGCAGAAGGTAGTCAGAAAAGGCATCTCTAAGGACATGACCATTGTACAGGGGAGAACATCAATTCTGGGAATACTTAAGCCAGGTTCTTATTCAAATTTCCGAACTTGACATACATTGCTCTGTACATACGTGGTGTGTGTTGTGTCCATCTTTGCCCTTGTGTCTGCAGTTTGCAGGCCTGGGGTCATAGCATGTGCTGATGAAGAGCATGTCTTGGGGGTGTGGGGATCGGGGATCGGGGTGGTGGTAGAAGGGAAGTCGTCTTGAGCTCACGTCTCCTGTTTTCCACGTGTGTCTCAGGAGACTGCTGTGTGTGTGTAGAGAAACCAGCAGAGGGATAAGTGGAGTCAGCTGTTGTGGGAGGAGGTTGTGTATTAATTGCCTCCATGGGAATTTTCTCATTATTTGTCCCTCTACCTTTCTTTCTGGAAGAATAATGAGACCTGACATTACATTTAACAAGTATGGGAGATGCAGTGGGAATACTTGAATCTTTTAAATGATGAGAGTTTGGTACCATCAAAAAGCTTATAAACACATTCATTTCTTTGATGCACCCAGTCAGTACGCAGCCTGGCTGTCCAGCATGAGATCCAGAGTGCTGTGTTGTGGGTTACAGACGGCCTTTGTTTCCGCCGGCGTGTCGTCACTGTCGTTCATGCCTCTTCCAGCGAAGGCTTTAATATGGGTTCTTAATGATGGCACTCATTTCAGATATTTCTCTTCCAAAAGGACAGAGCTCTGGTTATAATGGTCAATTCGGGTTTTTATTAAAAGAGGAGGAACCCTTTATTGCATACTGGAGTTGACATGGAGCTTTAAAAAAAACGAGCCTCAAATTAGGGTTGTCACCCAGATAATATCTAATTCAGGGTTTTGTAATGCACGGGAAAATGCCATTTCTTCCATAATAACCCAGTTGATCGCCTCATGCCTTAATTCCTGAGCTCCCTTGTGGCGGATCTGGGCCATGTCAGCTCACCCGGAAGAGCCCACTGACTACTGTTGTGACGCCCTGCGTGTGGCTGGGGCAGCAGCATTTTTCCTCTCACATCTGTTTCTGTGGATGGTGCCCCTCCTGTGCGATGGTGCCTCTTCTGACACATATGAGTGAGGTTCTGGAAAACACAAGAAACCAAGATTCTGGTGCTTGGCTTCATGGTTCAGCACCTATAATCCTGATGCTAAAACCTATGTCTATGCAGAACTTCTCCGACCTTTTAGGTACATTGTCCCAACAACTCTTGTCCGTGCAGCAAAGGAGGGGACAAAGGAAGGAGAACTATGTGCACTGAGGTGCTGTGCTTTATGGTTTTGATACTTGATCCCATAAATCTCCTTACCCACCTTATGAGAGGAGAGGTGGTATTTTCATTTTACTGAGGTGGATACTGAAATCTTAGAGCTTGGCATTTGCCCGAGCTCACACAACTAAGAAGTCACAGAGTTTGAAACTATATCTTGTGATTGCAGAGTTCATAATCTTTCTGCTGCCTACACCTTAAAATTTACAAGCCGTTTCCCTGGGGCCGGGGCCGTCTTCTCACACACAGCTCCTGGCAATTACAGCCTCTGGTTTATAGGGTTTGACTGCTTTGATGACTTCTTTAGGAACTTCAGCCATTCCAGAGAGCATCAGGACCTGACATCATAGGAAACGCCGAGTTAAGCTCCACACCCCTGTCTGTCAGCCCTGCAGTGGGTTGAAGGTTGTGTTGCTTTTCAAACTAAGAAAAAAGAGACTTGGCGTCACATTCGGCTAAACAGTTCAGATGAATTCAACATATAGGGACTGTTTCCTGTCTAAATGAAAAACCCTCAGAACTTTGATGGGACAGGTGATCAGGGCACCCTGCCAAGCACAGAGCTGGTCTCTATTTCACTTACTATCATTTCACATTGCGTTTAATAATTGGGGTGGGAACTTTCATTGTCTTGTGTTTGTGTGTGTGTTTTAACAAAGTGCTTGTCTAAATCTTTATGCCATTTGATAGTCTCAGTCTATTTCTTTTTAAAGCTTTTTTCTAGGTATCTTTAAATTGCTCTAGTTTCAGAGGTTGGTGAACTACAGCACGTGGGCCATATCCAGCCCGCAGCCAGTTTTGGTAAATGTAGCTTTAGTGAGAACACAGCCACGCTCATTTGTATCGTCTGTGGCTGCTTTCATATTACAGCAGAGTCGAGGAGTTGCGACAGAGAACTTATGGTACTCAAAGCCCAAAATATTTACTGTAGCCCTTTACAGAAAAAGTTTGCTGACCTTTCCTTTTTTTTTTTTCTTTTTTTTAAGGAGTACCATAGTTGTAAAGAAAAGAACTAAACCTGCTAGCCCCAGAGAAAACTCTCCCAGTATCTGCTTGGTCAGTAATAACAGGCCAGGAAGAAGCACACACACCATGGCCAACCCTGAGTCCATTCATATGTGGACTGGATGGCCATGCCCAAGGAGAATAATTGCAGCAAATAATAATGCTGATCTGCCACACCCCGTTCCCTATTAACCACAATAGAGGTACCACTAACTAGCTGGGCGACCTTAAACTTGTCACCAACTTTTCTACATGAGATTCGTCACCAATAAAATTAAAAACACTTAAAAAATTATATATATCTCACATAAAAGTATGTGTATATATAAATACATGTCTTATATATAGTTTAAAAAGGAATAATAAAATAAATATCAAATAAAGTAAGAAAATAAAAAGAAGACCCGTCTCCCCACCACCATCCACCATCCAGCTTGGGAAATAGAACTTTGTGATACCCTTGAAGTCCCTTCTGGGCACCCAGTAACATTCCCCTTCTTCCCCCCAGAGGTAACTGTCTCAACTTGGTTTAATCGTCCTATTGCTTTTCTCTATAGTTGTATTTAGTTTTGCCTAAAACTTTTTCTCTAAACAAAGAAAATTTTCAAAGCCCATCAAATTTTGTATTTCATTGGTGTTACTTCATTTTCTTGGTGATAAACTCTTTCTGTCTTCAAATCTCATAAGGGTTATCCGTCCAGCAAACACAGTAACACACAGTGGCTGCTCAATAAATACTCTTGACATATTCTGCAGGTTTTTCTTTTCCCTGTGGTGGCTATGGGTGGGGACGAGGTGCAGCAAACTCAGGGGCTAGTTCAGACTGGTCTCCCCTTCTCCTGCTGGGGTTTTGTGTCCATGTGCTAGGCTGGGAGGCTGGTATCTTCGAGGGAGCCATTGTCTCCACCATCTTTAGATTTGTCACCTCCAGAATGGGAGCGGGCAGTCATGAGGGACATGGCTGACCAAGGCCAGTTCACATGCGTTGTCTCCGTGTTTTCATAGTAAAAGAATAAGATGAAACCTGGTTCACGGGCCTTAAATTTAGTGTCCAGGCAATTTTAGTTCAAGGAAAATCTCATTGTATCCATTCTTTGTTTTCCTTTATTTTGTGGCTGGAAAAAAAGTATAAATACTGGGTTTTGGAAGAAGGAGCTGTTGTTAAGCTTAAGTCTTTTAAACTCTGTAATTACTCTATAAAGGCTGTGTATTTGCATCAGAAATGCATTTAGTCTTAAGTTTTAGTGCCCGGTATATGAAACATTTGTAATGATGGGGTACTTCCAAAAATATATCAACTCTATAGAAAATGTTAATCAGCTCATCCCCAGGGACTGTAGTGAGTATCCTCATTGTATAAATGAGGAAACGGACATGACAGTTAGTGGTTTGCCCAAAGCCACACTGTCATTGGCATTATGAAGATTTAAGCAAAGGTCCCACGTACAAGAAAACGCAGTCATGTTCTTATGTAAGACCCGGTGGACCTTAGTCAAGTTGACTGAAATTAAGATTCAGGGACTAACAGCCTTTTGGTGTTTGGAAGAATTTACCACATCAACCACAAAGAGCTGGCCTGCTCCTTTAAGTTACCTGCGGGGTTTTAAATAGGACATGGATTTTTTGAGGAGTCTGTCTGTTTGAAATCAAAAGCTCTGTATTTGGCTAAACATTGCTATGAAAACTGAAAAGCAACTGGTTCAAGTATATTTCACACTGCCAGGGAAAATTGTGTGAGAAGTACAGTAATGTCTCAATTGTAGGAATTCTGCTTTTACAGTTGACAAGAAAGCAGCCTTCTACTAGGAACTTATTTTT